CCTCCCCCAGCACCCACATCGTCAGCACATCCGACCCTTTCGTCGCGACTTGTTTGCTCAAACCCTCCGTGTGCGCGAGCGATGGATCGAAAGAAGGTAAACAGAGCAGCGACCTTCCTCGCTCGTTGAATGATAAATGAGTAGATTCTGACTTTCCACGAAATTACGTCGTTCCAAGCGACGTCGCACGTGTCTGTCTCTCAGCTTTCGGCGACATTAACCGAACGCTTGTACCTTTCTGTTTCTTAATTCATGCATAGCTGTACCATCGCATTTGCGCAGCTGGCGTATATTTTCCGAGCTCGGAAAGTCGTAAGAGTCGTTGGTCAGCACCGAAATACGGTGAGTGCACGTGTGTATGCCGTGCACACTTGTAGCGATTCACCGGTGAATGAGCCCATATGCCGCGAAAGTCATCCTCGTGTAACGTTACAAAGGGCTCTCGGACAATGACGGATGAATCGGTGCGCGCAGCGCGAATAATGCTGCCCGTTCTGCGCGCCGATCACGACGAGCGCACCGCGTCCTTCCACCACTGCTTTTTCTCTGTTTCTTTGTCTGTATTTTCTCATCTGACGACTTGTACAGAGTGATTATACATTGTCAATATTTAAAAGTCCTGTATTTTCATTGCCAAGCAGGCTTCTCATTTTTTTTAGAAATCTAAATGCCTGTCAAGCTTCACAATAAACTTTTGTATTAAAGTGAAATTGCAACAAAGGCAAATCGTTAGTAATGTAAATTAATTAATGCACATTTGCATTTCAGAAAAATTAAGCATATTGACAGAACTTGATATTAATTCAGTCGATTCAAAAGTGGCAGAAAAATTGCGGACTCCGCAGATTTTTCAGCAGGGACAGCTCGGGTGAGTGATTTTTCCGGATGTCAGCAACTTTCGTCCGAGCCAAAAAAGATTAGAAATTGGAAAGATTCGATTTCCTCGGTTTTCGACGCTTGCCAATATATCTGCGACCTCCTTTCGTTCCTTTTTTTCCCCTTGGCACACTTTACTGCGCAGCCGGGAAACTTATTACCGGAAGCAGGGGAGCAGGCCGGGAACGGGGGAAAATAGCTGAGGCGCACGATATCTATGTATTGATTTCGTCCCGAGCTCTGAATCCGAATGCGCCGGAACTGGGGGAGTCGTCCAGGTGAAACCGAGGACTCCTGACTACTTTAGACCGGCGCTCGCCCATAAATTAAATTGCACTCCGCCGAAGAGAGGAGCCGCGCGGGCGGGCAAATGCAATTAGCCCGAGTATAACCGAACAATTATACGAGTTAGCGTCATTGTAACCGTGTCTGCCGGCAAACATCGTCAAAGGACGATCGATATCGCGCGCGTAAAGTGTTTCCAACGGGCGCCGCACAAACCTAATTTCGGCGGAAACTTGTTTGCCGTGTACGCACGAGTTCTCTCGATGCTCTCTCCTAAGCAATCAGCAAAAAGAAAATAGTATTGTTGCGCCGCACGTTTCGAGAAGAGATTGCTGAATAATGTGTAAAATCTTTTAAGCTACTTTCCTACAAAATAAAGAAAACGCGTCGTTTGGAGAACACGACGACGAATTAATAAATATTTACGTTCCATCGTTCTCTAGCGAAAATCGCGCGCCGGTATATCTGCTCTCGGATCTTCGTGCAAAAAAGTGTCTCGCGCAGAAGCACGAATGCGGAAGCGAAAACAAGAGGAAAATAAGTCATAAAAAAACAAGGAACAAAGGGAAAACCCAGCAACGAGAATGCTCGACGATGGTGCTACAGAATGGAAATGGAACTGCGGAAGCTTACAAACGCGGAGCAAAAAAATTGCAATTGCCTGTGCCAACATTTTCCGGCCCTTACAAGGAATCGCCATCGCTTGTCTCGCTGAGACAATAAAGCGGACGTAGAAAAACCTACGCAAAAATGTGACAATGCGCTAAGAAATTGCATCTTAGCTGCCAGCCCCGCCTTCGCGAAGATGCGTTACTTTCCCTCGTGCAATATGTGAAGAATTTTTGCAATTAGAGTGAGATGGAATTCACGCCACGTTGATTATTTGTGTATCTAAAAAGAAATCAAATAAGAAATTACTAATTTTGAAATATTCGTGTGCGCTAGACGTCTTCTGACTTAATAATTCCTTACATTTCCAGTCTAGAAGTTTTCCTTGCAATTTATTGAACAATTTTTCAATTAATTAACATATTTGAATAGCTTCGGAATTTTTAAGCAGTCATTATGCGGCCAGACAATACGTTTGACTCGAAAATACCCAAGCGGAAATATAGGCACTAATGACTTCGCCTGGAATGAGGAAAACAAATAAAAGAACTCTATTACGAAACAAAGCGAGGTCTCGCGCTTTCAAGTAGCGCAAGATTCATCGCCTGGAAAGTCATATAATATTTTTCCATAAAATCCAATTACACGATTGTCCTATATTTTTTCTCTCGAAACATTGTCTACTATCATGTGTAACAATTGCTATCTGTACCGCAGAGTTCGAAAAACAAGCGACGTTATTATTATTAATGAAAAATTTTGCAGGCTCGGAACGCACGGCGCAGATGTAACGCCGGTTTTTTTCCACGACGATTTCTAGTCTCAATTCCGACAGAGCGACGCTGCTACGTGTCCCATGGGTGTTTCTCGGCCAACACCATGATGCGCGACTAAGGTACGTGCCGTTGCCTGATGGAGAACGCGACGCGCAGCCGGCACAGACGGCTCTGTCAAAACCCCACCAATCCTCGAGCACCACTACCGCCGCCGCCGCCGCCGCCGCCACCTCCAGCTCTCCTCCAGCACCGACCACCACCATGGAAACGGGCTAGTGCGCATTCTAACTTCAGTCCGGCGGACGGTTCCAACCTGTCCAGGTCAGCGCAAGGCAGGTGTCACAGCAGACGTGCCCTATCCACCGGTCGTTGTTGCCAGCCGCGCTCGGTCGCGTCGGGTCCACCCGTTCATCGTGGATTCCCCGAGGTCATCTCGAGGTCGCGGTGCCGTGAAGAGACGAGGGTGACGGGAGAGCCCGGGAGTATCGCGCGAGCGAGAGTGTCGTCGAGAGGGTTACGTTAGTCGGATCGAATCGGGAATTTATGGAACCACCCCATGGATAATAACATGTCAACTGCCGCCTTCATGCACCGGTATGTGAAAAAAAAAGCATTAGATCGATAGGCGAGTCCTGCGTATATATACACGAGTGTGTACACGCGCACGTATACACGCACACCGTGAAACCGCCCGCGCTTCTCCCCGTTCGTGTCGTCGTCCGGTTGGGGTTTCTCGTGGTCCCTCGCGCGGCTTTCGAAAAGCCGCTTCCGCGGCCGATCGATGAGTTCGTTGCTATGTAGTGCGCTGATAGAGACGCGTGGAGCGATCCCCCTCGCTTCTGCAATCGTCAAAATATAGACGGGCAGACGCTAAAAATAGCGAATGGATTGGCAAGAAGCAATTAATGCTTTCTGCGGTTCAAGTATTGATTGTGCCTATTCGATTTCATTTCGATGTTGTAGCACACATAAGCTTGCGCATGTATTTCACGTTTAAGGTGAAAGCACAGCTTAATTGCGACTTTCATCGCGAAGCCCTGACGCGTAAAATTGACTGATGAGAAAATCAGTGCTTTGTTTATTCGAAAGATCGATAGGCCCCCGAGTCAATTATGAAGAGACTTACGTCGCTTATGAAAGAGTCCATAACAATGAGATTCGTTGCCTCATTAGAATTGCGCGAGAACAATTGGCATTCAATAGCAGTCGGATTCGTAATCGCTCTATCTCTTGTTACGGCAAGTAATCGCTCTGCCCTTGATCAATATTATCAGAAAGAACAAAAACATGATCTTTTTATAAACTTTCGGATAATTATTTTTGCAATATATAAAAAACTCCAAGTTTATATCTCGAATTTATCCTGAAATTGAAGAGGTGAGCAGAAGAGCTCGAATTTGATAGGCGCAGGCTTGAATTGAATTGATATCCTTCTAAATATCACGCAGCGATCAATCTTGAATACCAAAGATATTCTGTACGTGCCAGATGTAACATCCTCGATAGAGGCACGACATAGTTCTCTGTTCGATCGCTGAAGCATGGAAGACTCTCGAGAATCCAGTCGGCGGTAATCGTATGCAGTTGCAGCAGCAGAGGCTACTTAGACGGCATTCCATTAACCTGCATTTTCGCAGAGGCAGGCGCGTCACCTGTTCGGTTTCCCCGGCGGACACGACACGACGATGTCGAATCGGACCAGCCCGGTTTCCTTGAACCTGCGGATACCGCAGCCATTGACCGCGCGCGGCCAGCTCTCGCCTCGTCTCCGTGACGAAAGGCCCTAAGTGCACAGCGTTCTCTCTCGTTCTTTCTCCTCCTCCTTCTCCATCCGTTCCCCACCTGCCCGCGATCTCTTTCTCATCTCGTCGGATACTACGCGGATAGATCCGCGCACTTCTCAGGTGGTCTCGCGCTAAAACGCTAATTACCGCTTCTCCCGAAACGACACATTCCCCGAACATATCTTTTTTTTCGCAATTTATTCTAGCGTTAATGAAAGTACACAGATGTTTGGTAACGTATGAAGACGTTCGTAATTATTCATCATAGTAATTATCAGGCTTGATAATAATAATTATCATGTTCCGAGGCCTCATCCACACTTCGCATGCAAAACAGCTGCGATTCTGAAAGCACATCTCGCAGAGGAAAGCGCAGCGGAGCGCAAGCTCGCACACGCGCACGAGTTACGCAAAACAAGCGTCAAGGAGGAAAAGGAGGAGGAGACGTACGTACATCTTCGGTGCCCCGGGATATATTTTATCAACGCTGGCGATGCATAAATCCCTTTTCCTTGCGCGCGCGCGCGTGACTACCACTCCGCATTAATTCCGGCCGCGTTACTCTGCTATCTTTCCGGGCCTCCGCAGCCGCGCGCGCGGACGCGTCGAAGTGCATCCTCGTGTTCGAATCTCCAGGAGCGACCGACTGTGAACTCGTACAAAAGCGAGACGCGCGGCAATCGATACATCTCTCGGCTACATATGTCCTGCGGCTATCGGATGACACGGTGTCGATGGACGAGGAAAGGAGTCTACGGTTGCGACGCGAAACGAATGGCTGTGATTGCCATCTTCTCCCGCGAATTCTCGACAGATGAACGATCGCGACA